ACCTACACAACAACACCAGAGGAAAACATACAAGAAGCTAGCAGCACAATAAAAGAAAAGCAGCTAAGGGCAACAGTAAAAAAATAAAACTTAAAATAACAACAAATAGTAAGCAATATGAACAACAATAGCACCAAAACCCACAGAAAAGGAGACATGTGAGGTAGGGCAGTTGCAGGGGCATTGGAGGATGGGGGTGGGTGATGGGCAGGGGGTGACAGACGAGTTGGGTAGAGCAGGAGTAGGAGGGTGAGGGTAGGGGATGGGCAGGGGGAGTGCTAGGGGGTCTGCTGGGGCACAAGTGGGGGTATTAGGGGGGGAGTGGCGACTAAAGGTGAGTGATCAGGAGGCTGGGTTGTGAAGGTGAGAATGTGGGCATTGGTGGTGGACGGCGTCATGGGCTGATGGCCGGAAGGGGTGGTTTGGAGGTTGTGGGGTTGTGTCGTGTGGGTTGGGCGGTGGTTGCCGGTGTCAAGGGCTGGAGGGGGTTGTATTGTCTGGTTTTGGGCCAACATTATGTCAGAATTTAAGCCTTACAGATTAGGGTTGTAACACTGACACTAGGATTAAGCATGAAGATTTCTGATGGGGCCATGAACCCATAACCTAAACCCCGTATTCTAGAGCAAGGGAGAGCACTTCTTTAAAGTGGTGGTATTTGCCTGTATAGAAATTCCTCTACCTAAGCCTCTTTGAGTTTGTCTACCCTTTTCATGATCCCATTTACAAAAGTTTTGTTTACGTTTTCTAGCTAACATGGTATTGCGTATATCCCGTTTACTTCTGGGTTTGCCTAATCTTCTATGCAGTGCAGAATTTCTTGAAGCTGCAATTCTTGATTTGTTTTCCCATTTTATGTTAATAATTTTTTCCTTCGTTAACCTTAGTTTGCTTTTACCTTCTTATGTGTGCCCTGTGCTTGTTGTGTTATGTGTGTTACTTGAGTTGGGGGTTTATTGGAAATGGTCTCGCGTACACTTGCCCTCCCTAGGCCCTACTTGTGGGATTCAACTGAGTTGTTATTGTTGTGTGTTGTTTCAAACGCCAAATTGACACAAAATATGCTATTATGCTTTCATACAAAGGCCTTTGACAGGCCTTTGTAGGCTGGTTTATCGAGGAGATAGTGGTGCATCATGGCATCCATGCACTTCATGAGACTTAGGCTCCTTTCCGTTCAACTTATTTTTTCTGATCTGATCTGATTTTTTGTAGTTCTCTGATTTGATCTGATTGAATCTGATCTGATTGGATTTGATCTGATGTGGCCTGATCTGATCTGACTAATTATGATTTGATTTAAAATTTAAATCAATAATTTGATTTGACTTTATAATAAGTTTTGAAAATTATAATGATAATTCATATTATAATATAATCAATATTTTTTATTTTATGATTATTTTTTATGAAATAAGAATATTACTTTAATATTTTAATAATTAGTTCATATATACATTAGATTAAATATTTAATTCATATATACATTAAAAGGTAATTAAATTTAGATAATCAATATAGAGAAGAGATAGTATTTTTATTAAAATATCTCATCATTATAAAATATCAACGTATGCTTTGTACTATGAAACTTTTTTTTATGATTAATATAACACCATATATATAATAGTTATATCAGTTACACTAAAATATACTCCGTATATGAATATCAAATGTTAATTTATTTAAGTCATTATCAAAGTTCATCAACTCGATGTAGTAAAAGATCAAAACTTTAGAAACTCAAATTACAGCTAGCAATAAAAATGTATTTTAAAAGTATAATTTGATTGAAATTGTCAATGTATTTTAAAAATAATTCTTCCGACGTCTAATAATTAAGGATTACTTTCTCAGTTTTTTATTTAACTTTTTTCTAAAGTTTATTCTTTTTCATTTTTAATAAGAATAATAATAATAATAATAATAATAATTCTTGATCTGGTATCTGATCTAATCTGATTCGATCTGATCTGATTTTAATAAGAATAAGAAAAAAGCAGAAAAAATAAGTTGAACGGAACGGGGCCTTAGAGGGCTTCTCTATCATTATTCATTCCCCTTCTTGGTTATATCTTTGTGGGATGATGTTTCTAAGATCCATTCCTTTAGCCTCTCTTCTCCTGTTCTTCGTTGCCCCACACCATCAACTATGAGTACAGTAACTTTATGTGACTATGGTACAGTTTGATCCCGATCTTTGTAATCAGCATGTGCCATGCTATCTTTAGATAATTAGTTCCATAATGAGGGTCTTGTATTTTTGCTTCAGTTTGTAGCTCAGCATCAGAGAGTAAACGAGTGATTTTCCTTGAACCCTCTCATTATGTCCCCACTGGAAAAATTCTTGGTGCATGAACCATCCATGCATTTCTCACTACATATTCCTTGCATTCCGCGTTTATGAGGCTACGTAAGTTGTGCACTCCACTCTGAAATCCATCTATTCTTGGGCTTTGATGGTGGCTTGTACTTTTGAAGTGATATTAGTTATTACAACAACAAACTGAGTATAATCCATTAGGGACTGGGCGGTCAAGATGTATGCAACCTTACAGAGAGGATGCTTTTATTCGACCCTTAGTGCAATGATGTATGTACTCCCCAAAACATCATAGAAAGTTAAGGCAATGGAAGTAAATCCCTTGGAAATGGATAAAATTCAATCTTCTGCTTGATGTCATATTAGGTTAATAAATTGATAACTCTCCACGAAGATGATGGGTCCCTCAGGCTCAATTCCAAAGGCTGATCAGGGAGCACAGGCAGAGGGTGGGTCTGAAAATATGATGTTAGCGGTTTTTTAGTTTGCAGAATTGTCAACACACTTTTTTAGAGTGGTGTATCTCACCGTGGATCCCTGTAGGGATTAACTCATTTTCTACACTAAATTTCGAGTTTTCTTCCGCACAAGTACTGAGCTTACAACAAGGTGTGCCACACTGAAGTATAAATTCAAGCTCTCAAAATGCTTATTGACATTCCACTATCCACTCAAAATGGTTCCTCTTAATTCTTTCAAATAACAGAAGAGACAATCACGTGCCCCTTGAAAAGATGCATCCTAGTGCTGCCTTGCAGCATCATGCAGGTCCCTGGACTTCATGTTTCTTTTCGGCTCCATATCAATAAAATCTGAAGTTTATTTGAGGTGATTTCTATCCCATGCTTGCTTAATAATGTACCAGAAGAACTTCTCTCCTTGCATCCCAATTCCCAAAGGCACATATCTTTGGGTCAAGTTATACTTTGCCTTTATTGCAAAGCACCTTTTAAAGACCCCTCGCATGTCTTCAACACTTAATTTTTGCCAAGTGATCGTCCACAGAAACTTTCATTACTGTTCCGGGTACTTCCTTGAAAAATTTTGAGATCGTCCATGTGAAAGTTGGTCCAACAATTATAAATCCAAAAGCTGTGATGACGTAGTAATCTACTCCCTCTTGGATGATAAAGGCAGTGCATTTGGTGTGGTGCTTATTGAATTTCAACCTTTCTACCCTGCTGCTTTCTCTACAGGTTGATCCAATCGCGGAAGGGGAAAGGGGTCCATAGGGTGCCTTGATGAGATCTCTAAAGTCAACAATTTAGAAAGGCGGTGGAATTGGGGAGAGGAATATATTGGATGACCGGGTTAGGTATTGTAACTCTTTAATATGCCATACAGAAAACATCGAACTGACTTCAAACTTGATGAAATTTTTTCTCTCCGTCAGCAAGTACTTTTGTTTTATTATTGGCTTTGACTGTGTTTGATGTTGAGTCAGCGGCATAGAATCGAGGGGTTAATACTAGGCAACATCACTCGTCAATATCAATCGGATCCCATGCAAAGAGAACATTTTTGCCTTAGCACTTGTATTATCTCTTTGCACAGCCCCTTTTCAATGTCTATCCCCACATTGACCATGTTGTCATCATGCTCCGGACATACATAAATGCTTACCATCTCGAAGATGGGCTCTGCATGTTTTGTTTGGCTTGTTCCTAAATGGTATAGACTCCGGCATCATGCTTACCCATCTTGCTAGTATTCTGATCTATCTGTCGGCCATCCCGACACCTTCCGGTATTCGGAACTATATGCTCAAATATTTTATGCAAAGGATCACCCAAGGACACATTCGATGCATGATTCCTTGAAATCCGTTTTATGCAAATTCAATGCCGACAACTACTCCGAGGATGTTCATAACAATGACATAAAGCTGAATAATGCCTTCCGGCTTGATAACATCCCCAGTGAATCGGAATGGGGAGTAGACTGCCGTGGAGTCCAAAGATTTTTTAGTTCAGACTTAATAATCTCGACCTTCTTTGAGGGCCCTCATGTAAATTATATTGACACCGCTCGCGTCCGCTAACAGCCTCACGTAAAATTTATGGACGACTGTTGGTCAAGAAAAGGAATTTATGGATGACCATAGAACATACAAATGAGGTCTGATGGGGACTAGGGACGACTGATAGATCTTCAATGGATAATTAATCGGCTCTCTCATCGTCTTCTGTCATGGTTCCTGTATTCATTGACCCTTGTGTAGAGTTAACAGGACTAGTTCTTCATCTTGAGGTGTTTCCCCACATTTTGGTACCTCACAGATGATTTGGATATCCGATACTTGTTTTGGATTTGTCCCGAGGTTCTGCAAGTCTTCTTTGTACATTTTGGCCCAAGTAAGACAAGGTGGGCCATGACCCCGTCACCCATTACTTTTGAAAAGGGACAACATATATGCAAATCACCTTTTGTAGTTCTCTCTATTGTTGGCGTTTTTTTAAAGAGAGTACAAAATGATGCTCAGCAACCCTTCATTTATATATTTGATGTATGTGACTTTGAAAAGTCAATCCTTCAGGGATGCATCTGATTGTGCTTTTATATCAACAACATCAGGTTGCATAAAATAATCCCTGTGAACTTTTTTTCCTTATAGGAAAAAGATCATGTTAACATTTAACTACATATTTGTGGTATGATCGATCAATCGCTTTTGCAGGTTCGGCAAGACAATTGTTTGCTCCCAGGATTACGCTGGGTTTATTGTAAACCGAATCCTGATGCCAATGATAAATGAAGCATTTTATACACTTTACAATGGAGTTGCGACTAAAGAAGACATTGACACAGGGATGAAACTTGGAACTAAACATCCAATGGGCCCTCTGGAACTCGCAGATTTTATTGGGCTGGATGTTTGTTTGGCAATATTAAAAGTCCTGTTCACTGGCCTGGGGGACATGAAATATGCTCCGTGCCCCCTCCTCGTGCAATATGTTGACGCGGGCAGGCTTGGTAGAAAACGGGGCATTGGTGTGTATGAATACAGACTTGATCCAAGGGGCATAAAGGGATTGCCTCGACTCTGAGATAAATAGTACTCCTACGTAACATGGATACAAATGATGTGCCCTTCACAAAGGCAGCGTGCATAAACTTCTGTGTGTTCTTGAAGATTCTGGTTGAAGGGTTATTCAATAAAATACCCTTTCAGAAAGGTCCTTGTAAAGAGAAATGCATGCCTATATGCAAATTGCTTTGTTGGGTCATTTAAGAGTTGTTGATGCTGCTGCTGCTACATCCGAGTGCTATTGTGTAAGGTTTTTATATCACTATTGAAAGCAGAAAATAAGAGTGGTATCACTGGTATCTAAGTATGTCATTACTGATTCATGTTATGGTGAAATAATGGTTGAAGGTAGGCTTAGATACGGTGGGGTGAGGGTGTGTGGGTGGGGTGGGGGTGAGTCAATTCCAGTTCTACCCCAGGTTTCAATTTTTTTTATTTATCAAAATGTAAAAATAATTATTGATGCTGTACCAAAATCGTAAAATATATATATGGTGAAGTAGTGTGGACTATTTGTCAGAACATCCCCTTGCATCGATTATAGCTTTCGTGAAGTGCAATTCAAGCGTAATTGTCATTTCACCTTGTTGATATTTTGCCAGCAACCAACTATGGTAGCAACCTAGTCTACTATCTACTATTCTACTATATATATATATAAAAGCTGAATGAAAATTCAGTACAATTGCATTCCTCAATTTTCCCGCCAGAAATGAGAATCTAATGTCTATAAACACTTTGGTACACATGGTAGCTATACATTGCATCTCATTCTGTAAACATATATACAATCACTTCTAAACAAAACATATACTAGTACATTTCATCTCAATATAATAAGTCCATCCAGGTACTACACGGATGAAAGCCCTCTCCCCTGCCCCAACATTCATTGCATCAATAAATCCAGCCACAGTGATGGTAAACATGTACAATCCGGACCTTGCAAACCGGGCCACAGTGATAACACCGATGATGACACAGCCCAAAACCATGCTCATTGAATCTTCAGAATATTCACAACAGACCCCAAACCATGTTCATTGAAGGTGGCACGGTTCCAAACCATTGTATTCATTGTGATTCCCCAAACAATGTTCATTGAAAATGGCAGAGCCCATTGTATTCATTATGATTATGATTCCCCTCATTGGTGCAGTGGTTGCAGTTTTTTATCAAGTTCAAAAGCATTTGAGGATTCCATTATTGAAAGTAAAAAATCTGGATTCTAATCCAAAAATTACTCTGTAGAAACTCAAGTAATGCAACTCAACTGACTGAAGAAAAAATTGGTTAAAGAAAATTACTTAGCCAAAATTGAAAGAGTTTGAACTAATCACCTAATTTAAAATATCTTCAGTACCTCCATCAAAATTCGTAGTCATTCAATGTATCAACTTAGTCGGATTACATGACAAGATATGGCCTTGGATTTAGTCCATGGTATGTCTCATACATGAATAACCACTAACATACACTTCCAAGTATTATTTAATTATTACCAGTGGTGGACACCCTTGTTGTCTATTTCTATATTTGTATATTTATAAATATTAGATATATCCTAGCAATTGTGTTCTATTTAACTCCCATAAATCTTTCTTTCTTTTGTACCAGAGAGCCATAATATCTACACTGAGCAATCAAATGAAGAGTTCATCGTCCAATGGCAAAGACAGAGGGAAAAGAAAGAGATTCCATACGAACACAGGTACAAAGACAGAGGGAAAAGAAAGAGATTCCATACGAACACAGGTATACACACTTCAATTCACACTGTATATTATTCTACGTCTTTTATTTTAGTAATCACATTTCATTAGGAATATATATTGATGTCTTTTACTCCCTCAATCCCTGAGTGTTTGTCCACTTTCATTTTTGCACACCATCCAATGCACTTCTTTAATCCATTTTATCTTGTAACTTGTATATTAAAAAATTATTAAAATTATATATTAATAATCTATATGTTAAGACGAATCAAACAAATTCATACATAACTATTGTTAGGCTTACACATTGAGGAAATTTGATGAGTTAAAGTGTTTAGATGAACAGTTCCAAAAGTCAAAAGTGGACAAACACTTAAGAACGGACCAAGTATTTATTATGCACAGTTCATTAGGTTTATATATTGAAAATATTAAGTTTAAAGAACTTACTTGCCTTCCTTAACCCTATTGCTTGGGATAAATCTGGAAAACATGGAATAGTACGAAGTAATTGTTACTTGACATATTAAGTTTTCAGATTATTTTCAAATTAATTAAACATAAGAAAATATACTTACACTCACTTGCATCACAAGCAGTTTCTTTAAAAAGGATCAAACCTGAAATATAAAGTACCCTGGAGTATAAGACGTTAGTGGTTAAAGCTAAGTATTTTATGATTTTAATCTAGCAAATTATATTTTTAAAAATGTTTTGAAGTGCATATGAAGTAACATACGAAGTACATGTTTTGCTTTACTTTATTTCAATAAAAATGCCCATGTAAAAAATAAAAGTATTATCTTTATGGTTACTTTATGGTACATTATCCCTTTGTGAACCATTGACTAAAAAATATATATCAAATTATGGAAGACATTTTATAAAAAAAATTTGGAAGAACGTTTTTAAATACTAGGTTTTCAAGTATAAACGTAGTTTCTGATCACATTAAAAATTTATAGAGCCATAATAATTAAAAAATCAGGGCACATATAGGATTCTTAGATTCCTGAATAATATTTTCACATATAGAAGGAATGGATACAATTTTAAAGTAGGAGACCATATAGAAATAAAAAATAAAAAACATAAGAAAAAAACCTAAAGTAGTAGACATAATATTAAAAAAATAAAATTTATCCCAGGATCTTTAATGCAATAGCATTAAAAAATAAAAAATATATCCCAGGTTCTTTAATGCAATAAAATTAACAAACAGAAAATCCCAAATCCTTAACACCCCCTGCAGTAGGAAAAATGTTCAGATTTGCATCTGATTTTAAAGAATTTAGAATTTCCTTCAATATTATACAAAAAATTAAAAAACCGAAAAAAATCCTCCACAATCACATTTCAGGTCTGTCATTGGAGACCTCCTTTGTAACAAATGACTATGAATCATGTTTTTGTTGTTCTAGGAAAAATTTCATTATGCATGGATCTGTAAACAAATGAACCATGATTCCAACTGAGGAAAATAAGATCCCTTCGGCCAGATCTACTGGAAAACATTGAGAGTCCGTTTGAGAGCCCGTTTGGTACACGGAATTGATGGAATTGGAATTAAAATTCTATGGGATTCAATTCCATAGAAATGAATTCACAAATTCCAATTCATTTTTTGCACTACTAATTCCAAATCCACAGAATTTCTGTGCTACCAAACACGAGAATTAAAATTGAAGTCCTTAATTCCAATTCCATAGTTTGAATTCCTTGTACCAAACGGGCCTGAAGAATTGTACGAACCACAAAGCCCTCGAAAATCCTCAAGAAAAATTGAAAAATTAAAAGTATGCATGGCATATCTATTCCACTTTGTCAAGTAGATTTAGCTCTGAAAATTAAATACTTTATATGTTTCGAAAAAATGGATGAGATAGGATTTCAAATTTTTGTAAGAATATGGAAAACAAATTACGGGAAAAAAAATTAAATACATAACCAGGAAGAAAAACATACAAAAACAACGATCCAAAAAATTGGACATGAGAACATAATCCTTCCATTCCTGAGGCAGAAAGAGGATTAAAACCGGTGCAAGAAGATAAGCATAACATAGAGAGAGAAGGTAAAGGAACAAATGGACAGAAATGCAGCGGCGCAGTGGATTGGGAGAACACATATTGGCAGTACATTAGGGGTTATTAGGTTAGATTTGGTCTGGGCCGGGTGATAAAATGAAACACGGGCCAAGTATTTTATATGGTGGATCATATTGGGCAATATTCTTTTTATTTTTAAAGCACCTCAATGGGTTATAAAAATTGTAAATTTCTTTAATAGTTGGTCATTAAATTTTTTTTATATTTGATCTTTTATAAAAAAAATGAATCTTTTACTAAATAATAATATTATTACAAGTACAGATGTACAAAATACGAACTTGTGTTCTTTTCAGATTCATGACCCGTTAACTTTATCACAAACACAAATATCTTCTCTTCAAATAAATTTCTTGAATGACATTACAAACGGTTAGTTCTTTACATTGTACTACATTCGTTCCTAATATTTATCCAGATTTAACTTTTTTTGGTAATTTTATTTAACCTTTGACGTATTTTTAAATATAATGTATATGTTATATTAAGAAAAGTAATATAATATTTTGAAAATAATTGACATAATAAATCCAATGAAAAAACATTTGTATAAAATTCTAATATTATTTTGAGTTTTTTGAGGTAAAAGTTTTCCGTTTAAAACTGAAAAACACAAAAACTGACAAATACTTGGAGACGGATGGAATATCTTTCATAAGTAGGAATAGTATTGAAGTTCATACATCTCTTTATCTAAAATACATTGTCCTAAACAAGAATGCCACCAGACTACCATGAATAATTTTCTGGAAGTGCCTCCATTATACAGTTGTGAGAAATTTAAAAGTTTTCTATAAGTAATTCTCCCCATGTATTTCATTACTTACCAAAGTTATCAATTTTTAAAATAACTTTGGTAAAATTAGTAAGACTTATATTCTGAGTTTTTCCTAAATAAATAAACAAAAGTCAGGGACAGTCTTTCTCTCATGTTAGTTTATTCTTGAAAAAACATGTTTTTAGTCACGGCCAGCTGTATGTGGCCATGTCTAAGGTACGGTCTCGCTAGGAATTTAAAAATAATGATATGTAATTCTGATAATACTACATGTAATACTACAGTTAATGTAGTTTACAAGGAGGTTTTTGAAAATGTATGATTGATTTTAAACATACGTTGTTTACTTTACTTCATTTGAATATTAGATAATGATGATAGTCTACTTTTAATACACATCTTCATTTTAGTAGTTTTATTTAGAATTAAATAAACATTATAATTTGTGATTAACTTTATCTCTTTGTGCATTGCACGGGTGATGGAATAGTGTTTATTACTTATTTTTATTAAAATAAAATTATATCAATTCAAATTTAATCAGATCAATTAAAAAAATGTAGAAAAAAGTATTTCCTTCGTTCTAAATCAAATTGTTTGTCTATTATTCACAAGGTCAAATTTTATTCACTTTCTTTCCATATTTTTGTTACTCATTTGATAAAATAATATAATCATTTTACCATTAGTTTTGTAGATCTTTTGATTAGTTTTAAATATTTTTTTTATTTTATTTTTAAACTATTTTTCATATAAAATGATTTGAAAGTAACTTCAGTCAAACATCGTAAATTGAAACACGCGATTAGAATTGAACGGAGGGAGTATTATCCTATTATCTAGAGGGTTACTCCGATCCGTATTATCAAAGTATTAACTACAAAGAGCAATGTTAGGGGTACACCAAAAGGTATACTCCAAATGTACACCACCCCCTTTTCCACCATATATTTTTATTTGATTTTTATTTACTTATTTTTTAAAAATTTTTGCCTTTTTTAGTTGATGAAGGGGTGGGGGACGTATGGGGACCCTAGCATTTTTCTAACTACAAAAGGTATGGGTCTCGATAAAGTCCCTATATGTGGCCAGTTTGTTGAGCGTGTTGACCATGTCTTTGTAGTATCCCTTTGCGGATGCCGTTTGGAATATGGAGAACAGAAGGTGGGGGTGGGGGGGCAGAGTTGCGGGCGGCGCCCTTGTTCACAAGCTTGTCCGGACCTACCGCTCTCTTGCTTATTAGTGATGCCAGTCAGTTCTTTACTTCAAGGTTGGGAAGAATCTGCTGCTCACCAGAGACATTACACCATAGTGACGGGATAATTGGTCTTGGTTGACTTTTTCTCTTGCGAATCCTTTTTCTAGAAGTGTGCTTTGTGGATGCGACTATTTTTCCACAATCTAGTTTGGTGGTGTTTGGATGTGTACTTCAAGGACCACTCCTTTCGGGCTACACTTAGGGCTGTTTGTTTCAAGCTCTTAATGATTCAAATATCTGATTGGTTTAGCACTTAATGGTTCAGACCGTTTGTTTCAGCCTCTTAATGGTTCAGACGTCTGAATGGTTAAGAGATTTGCCTCTGAATGGTTAAGTATTATACAGAGTCTAAATGGTTAAGACTTCTTATCTGAATTGATCAGACATTTGCCTCTGAATAGTTAAGCAATATACTAGCTCTTAATGGTTCAGACCTCTTACTGGTTCAGCACTTAATGGTTCAGACCTCTTACTGGTTCAGCACTTATTCATTCAGAAGTTGCCAAACAACCCCTTAATGTACAGAAATCTACAATGTGTTCAAGATCAATTATTGGCAGGTGATGGCTTGTCGGGGGACTTTGTCGTGGTTGAAAAGTAGAAGGGTTCGCGCGGGCATTCTTTGTATGGATTACCTTCAGGTTTCTACGACCATTAAGCAGCGCGAGTTTGACACTATCATATCTTATTTTAGGTTTTTGATGAAAAATGTTCACATTTAGGGCATGTTCTTTAAGACGGTAAAAAAAGAGCGGGATGTTGGAAGAAACTGGAAAAAACTGGGAGGAGCTGGAAAAAACTGGAAAAAACTGGAAGGAACTGGAAAAACTGTAAGGAACTGTAAAAAACTAGAAGGAACTGGAAAAAACTTGGAAAAAACTGGAAGGAACTGGAAGAAATTGGAAAAAACTGGAAAAAACTAGAAGGAACTCGAAAAACTTCAAAAAATTGGAAAACCTAAAAAAACTTTAAAAATATTTATTTTAAATTCTTGTTGTTATAAATTATTATTATTATTATTATTATTATTATTATTATTATTATTATTATTATCATTATCATTATTATCATTATCATTATCATTATCATCATCATCATCATCATAATCATCATCATAATCATCGTCATCACGTTATCTTAGTGAATATCTTTAAGATATAAAAAAAGTATTGTTATTTTTTAAATACAAAAAACTAATTTTACAAAAAATAATTTAAATATAAATTTAGCATAAATATAAAAATATTAAATTTTAAAAAGGCTGCGTAGTTATATATATTGCACCTCAATTTATTTATGCAGTATTTATTGTAAATAATATATTTGTAATTATAATTTATATATTAAAATATTTTGTTTTAAATATCATACATGTCACATAATCAAACCTATTATTTCTTTTATAATTGACATTTTATTTTCATTGAATTCCAATTTTTGGAATAAAGACATAGAACTTTTTGTGTACATTTTGTATGTTTTACTCATATTTTAGTCTTTTTCTCTAAGCTCTTTTGACTTACAATTTTTTTATAAAAATTTGAAAAATGAGCAATTTTTAAGTAATAAAGGGAAAACTGATATGTCTTATAAAAAGTTATACTCCGGGGTATTAATAAAACATTCAATGTAACTATTTTATCCATAATTTTTTTAGTATAATTTAACATATTGATGTTTTCCTATTTTATCATGTAGACTAATATACAAAAAAAAAATCTTATTCATATTAAAAAGTTGAAGAAAAAAATAATAAGTGTGAATTGTAAAAATAGTGAGATGAAAAAAGTAATTTATAAACTATATTTATGAATATAACAGTTGTAATAATAATAATAATAATAATAATAATAATAATAATAATAATAATAATAATCACATTGAAATATATCATTTTTAGCGTAATTGTTTGAGGAGTAAAAAGAATTTGAAGAAAAGGAGAAAAGTTGGAAGAAACTGGAAGGAACTGGAAAACTGGAAGGAACTGGAAGAAACTGAAAGTTAAAAGTTCAAGCTCTAAAGAACAAGCTCTTAATGTTTTCTTTTAATTGTGTTTCTGATCAATTTGTTCATAGGGCTGTTATTTTGGCGGCTCATACGTTAGCTAGAAGTAGGGGTGGGCACAGGTCGGTCCGAGCCAAGATTTGTATAAACCGGACTCGGCTTGTTTTTATTAAAACGGTTCGGTCCGGAACGAGTTCTCAAAATTTTAAAATTGAAACCGGACCTAACCCGGCTTGTTTGAAACGGGCCGATTCCACGGGTCAATGGGTCCGAACCTATCATGATACTAACATTCTCCAAAACAAATAGAAATTATAGAATAATGCCTTCAAAGGGTAATTGGATGGTGGATTATGAGGAATTGAGGTGTGAATAATTGCAGGCCACACATCCACATACAAAAGTAACAAAACTACCCTCGGCTAACTCCTTCGTAACTGGTAAGGCTAAGGTGGCCAGTGACCCAGGGTATTTAGTATTTACTAAAAAGTAAAAAATAATATTGGGGTTTAAAATAAACGGGCCGGTCTGGGTCCAAAACATTTTTAAAATTAGGAACCGGATCGACCCTAAAATCTATACGGCCCGGACCGACCTGAATCGTTTTAAATTTTTGAAAAGAGGACCCGCACCTAACCCGGCCCGAACCTGGCGGTTCGGTTCCGACTCGCGGTTCCTTGACCCGTTTGCCCACCTCTAGCTAGAAGTGCTTCTTTAGTTCTTGGTTTGTGGGAGTCTACTCCCCATGTACTCATTTCAGTCTTGATTCAATAATGTAGTCGTTTTGTGTTCCAAAAAATATACTTATTCTATTAGAACGATTTATTTCACTATTAGTACGACATCTACAGTGACTAGCATGTTTTCTTCTTCTACATCTTCAATATGTTACTCAATTTATTTTTTATTTTGTACTCCTTCCGTCCCGAAAAACATGAAAGTTTTGATTTTGAAAAGGGATTTAAGGAGAGTGTATTTTGGTATTGAATTTCCAAAAATTTCCTTTGATGTGATGGGTAAAAGTATGATTTGATTGATAGATTATTAGTAAAAAGGTATGATGTGATCGGTGGAGTATGAAAAAGTAAGGGGTAAAAGTAACTTTTTAATAGAAATGATAAGTGTTTTTTGGGACGGATGAAAAAAGAAAGGAGAAAGGTTTTTAGGGACGGAGGAAGTATTTTAAATTGATAAATTAATAATTATATTATACATATGATCATCACAATATAAAAAGATATTAAAATTATTATTTAATTATAACTTTAATTTGAATTACATCATATTTGATCCATTTAGATTAGATCGAATCATAATAATCAGATCATATCAGATTCATTAGGCCCAGTCGGATTCAATATGATTAGATGATACTATACCCAATCAGATTCAATTGGACCACATTATTAGATCAAAACGAATCTTTATAAAATTAGATCACAATAAATAAACTCAAACAAACGGAACCAGCCTAAGACCCACTTCTTTTATTTCATATTTTGATTTTTGTGAACGCATCAAGACTTTGTGTCAGTATAAATTTTTGTTAACGCACTAACACTTTGTGTCAATGTGAACGATCAAAATGTTGATATATATCTTGGGTGTAAGTTTGGGGTACAATTTTTGATGTTAGTGTAGCATGGTCCGTATTTTAAACACCGTTTCCATCGAATGAGGTGGTTGGCTCATTGCCATGTGCGTTCAAAGTATTATTGTATGTAGACTCTATTTTTTTGGTAGGTAAAAATATAGTTGATGATAGAGAAAATGGTTAGGAATTAGAAAGAAACTAGGAAAAGTTGAAAAAGAATATAAGAAATTAAAAAAAGTCAGAAAAATGAAAGGTACTTAAGAAGACATTATAATTTTGAAATTTCATATTTTTATTTAAATAATTATATTACATTCATTTATGTTATATTTCTATTTTATGTGTTTCTACACCATATTTTTTCTGTTTCAAATTGTATTTAATAATATTCTTCTTAGCTCTTAATCACTAATACTTTTTCTTATGCTCTTTTACATCAATAAAATTTTTATCATTATTTGTTATGTGATTTGTTGATTCGTATCTTGGTGTAGCAACCCGAAAATTGGCACAGTGGTTGTAGCCATGGCAGTCTCATCTTTTTATTTCCCTCTAGAAAAATAATTCTGAGCCTCTTTATTTTGTATATATAACATTTAATTAAATTTGAATAAAATCTGGATTATATTTTCATATAAGGTACCAGTAAAACTAGTCGATAAAATATGTTATGCTAAATATCATTGAGCCTTTTAGTGGTGATAAAAAATCTAAGGATCAGATTTCACTTGTGAGGAATTTGGACAGGGGAGATATTCAGTGGTCATATATGAATTTGTGTAGGAAGTTCCAAGGAATTTTGGCAGTGGAACATTATGTGAGGATGGATTTGAAGTTGGGCAAGAGTGGATTATTGAGCTGACAGTAAATGTAGTTTCACTCCAAATGATACATCTGCTTTTTTGGCCATTTGTGAATTTAAATGTTGCTGGATACAGATTGCATGGATTACTGCTACGTGTACAAAAAATTTTATAACCCTAGGATTGTTAAATTTTGGATGGAAAATTGGAAAATTGAGTAGAAATTGGAAAAAGTTTTCACTTTTTACTTCTGTAGGAGTAAGCCACTGCACGCATGTAATTTTTCTCCTAATTTACACTTCACTTCAGATTTGCCTTCTTTATGAGGAGTAACTTTGAATTGTGGAAACGACAAAGAGGAAGGGAACTTATGGGTTGGGGATGGTTGTGGCGAATCAGGACGGAGGCAGTGGCTTGAGGCCGATATATTTAGGCATTTTAGACTGCGGGTGATCAGGATGGTAGATGTAAAGGATAATCTTTAGTCAATTAATATTTATTATTATTACCATCCTTATTCACGCAACCGTATATGTGATAGGCATGTCCTGCTCCTATTTCCTTGTATAGCTAACAGTTATGTACTGGTAGTGCTAATTCTTAGGCTGACTTTGAGCTTCCCACGTTTGGCTCCTACCATGCATGTATATATGTAATCTCCTTGTCAATGGAATATAATCAATCATCATTATCTTATATGGTATCAGAGACTTAGAAGGAATTTTTCTTCCGATCCATTCACGCACTGCCTGCCATTGCATTGTCTTCATGGCTCCAATCACCAAAACCACTTCAGTAATTCAACTTCATGCAAAGACCCATTTTCCAATCAAGTTGGTCTTTACCAATTTTACGATATGGCAACCGCAAGTTTGATCAACTCTCATTGGCTTAGATCTCCTTGGTTTTGTTGATGGTTCCATGGCTGCTCCGCCCATGGACGTTGACGGTGCTTCAAACCCGTGCAATTCCATTTGGTACCGACAAGATCAATCCATTGTCGGTGCACTTCTTGGTAGTTGTGATGATGTGGTTCAACCTATCATCTCCAATGCCGCCACGGCTCATGATGCCTGGAAGAGTCTTCACTCTGCCTTTGCTAGCACTAGCCGTGGTCGTGTGCTCTCGCTCAAATCTCAGCTTAGCAAGAATCCACGAGGGGATCGCTCCATTGCTGACTATCTGTTTGACATGCAGACCATTGCAAATGAATTAGCACTCATTCAAAATCCGATCTCTGAAGAAGATTTGGTGGTTCATGTTCTAAATCAAGTTGGTGAGGACTATGATGCTATTTCCTCTACTGCTCTACTTCGCCCCACCTCCATTCCGTTCACAGAACTTGGAGATATTCTGAAAGATCATGAGCGAAAACTAAAGGCCACTGATGACGCTAAATCTGTCATTGTTTCCACAGCAAATTACACTCAGCAGCAGCGTGGTCCTGGTAAGCTTCCGGGGGCATCTCGTGACCCTGTCTCCAACGTCAGCTCAAACGCTCGGCGGGGATGCCAAATTGGTAGCGGTGGTGCTCGTCCTTCTCGATCGCATGTTGGGTCTTGCCAATTCTGTGATATTCAGGGGTATGATGTGAAGGACTGTCGTAAACTTGGACGCTTCTTGCGTAACCATGGTATTACAGTACCCCCCGCTGTACACAACACTATGGCTTCCCCTCATAATGGTCCGCAATGGCTATTTGATAGCGGCGCTAGTCATCATACAACACCCACTACTCAGGCACTTCAATCCTTTTCTGACTATGGTGGTCCCGACGAGATTCGTTTGGGTAATGGTAAGGGTCTCCTGATCACTCACACTGGTCATACCTCTATCTTCACTCTCTCCCGTAATCTTTCCTTATCTAATGTTCTTTGTGTTCCTGCCCTTAATCGTAATCTTGTTTCTGTATTTCAACTCTGTCAGACTAACCATGTCTCTGTTGAATTCTTTCCCTTTTCATTTCATGTCAAGGATCTGAAAACGGGGGCGAAGCTTCTCACCGGGGATAACCTACACGGAGTTTACTATGCACGAAACCCAAATCATACGCCACAAGTGAATTTTCACGATGGGGGTTCCATTTCTGATTTCCATCATAGTCTTGGTCATCCTTCCAATAAAGTTTTACATGTTATGTTGCGCTTGTGTAATAAATCCTTTTCATTAAAGGATCAACAGTTTCATTGTGCTTCGTGCGCCATCAATAAAAGTCACAAACTTCCCTTTTATGAAAATTCCTTTGTTAGTAGCATGCCTCTTGAATTAATTTATTCTGATGTATGGGCTAGCAAAGAAAAATCTATTGATGGTTATTTCAATTATGTCATCTTTGTTGATCATTATACAAAGTATGTCTGGTTATATCTCATGTCTCGTAAATCTGAATTTTTAAAAATATTTCCTCAATTTAAAAATCTTGTAGAAATTCTTTTTAAACGGAAGATTGTTTCCATTTTTTCGGATAATGGGGGTGAGTTTCTTAAACTGCGTCCCTTGTTAAGCTCTTTTGGTATCTCACACTTTACCACACCTCCTCACACTCCAGAGCATAATGGCACATCGGAGAGACGCCATCGTCATATAGTTGAAACTGGCCTCTCCATGCTCCATCATGCTCACATGCCTCTCTCCTATTGGTCTTATGCCTTCCAAGTTGTTGTGTACCTTATTAACCAAATGCCAACCCAGGTATTACAGTCTCGTAGTCCATATCGAGTGTTGTTTAATGCTGAGCCCAATTATCTCAAACTTCAACCTTTTAGGTGTCTATGCTATCCATGGCTCCGTCCATACACTCGCCACAAGCTAGAACCTCGTTCCACTCCGTGTCTATTTGTTGGGTACTCTACCACACAGTCCACTTACAAATGTCTAGATCTTTCCACCAATCGTGTATATCTTTCCCGTCATGTCAAATTTGTGTCTCATGAGTATGCCTTTCTCAACTATGTTTCTCCCTCTCCTGGTAAACCCACCCCTCCTTATCCCCATTATTCACCTCCTTTCTCCACACCTACACCTGTCTCTATCCCAAACCCACCCACATCATCCACAATACCTTCATCCAGTGGGCCCCTCCCATCCTCTCTAAGTCTGGTTATTGCCACAGAGTCTTCATCCACATCGCTTCCTTCATCGGCAGTTCCGACCACAAGTTTTGCCTCAGTCCCAGCATCTCATCCAGTTCGTTCTCGCCATCCCAATCCTCGATATTTCAATTCAAATTTTATTTCCGATTCTCCCATTGTCAATACAACTACTAAACATCCTCCTCCTCTTACCCATGTACCCAAAACCATTACTCAAGCCCTCAAAGACACTCGTTGGCAGAAAGCAATGGATGAAGAGTATGAGGCTTTGCTTCACAATCAGACGTGGCAGCTTGTACCGCGTCCATCTTAGCGACCAATTGGGTGTAAGTGGGTGTTTTGGGTTAAACGAAAGGCAGACGGATCTATTGATCGCTAAAGGCACGGTTAGTTGCTAAGGGCTATCTCCAAGAGGCTGGTCGTGACTACTCTGAGACTTTCAGTCCTGTCATGAAACCTGTTACTATTCGTCTTGTTCTGAGCATTGCATTGGCTAACCACTGGCCACTAAGACAACTTGATATAAACAATGCCTTTTTAAATGGTCGATTAGACGAACATGTTTTTATGGAGCAACCTCCTGGGTATGTTCATCCTAATTTCCGGGTCATGTTTTTCGACTCTCTAAGGCTTTATAAGGACTTAAACAGGCCCCACGGGCATGGTATGACGCGCTCTCTTGGTTTTTAATCACATCGGGTTTTGTGTCAGCCCACTCCGATTCCTCTCTTTTCATTTATCACCGGGATGGTGTCCTTGCATATTTTTTAGTTTATGTGGATGACATTATTCTTACCAGGAAACGTGAATGAGTTTTTGGACTGCTTTGTTCATGCGTTGGCCGCTAAATTCTCGCTCAAAGACTTGGGACCCTTAAGTCACTTCTTGGGGGTTAAGGTCATTCCCACTAAGACGGGTCTATTCTTGTCTCAATCTCAATATATTTTGGACATTCTTGACGATACATCTATGACAGGCGCTAAATACATTGCTACTCCCATGATTCCGGATACCTCTCATGTTTCTACAGCACAATCCAAAGAAGTGGACCTCTCAGCTTATCGTAGGGCAATTGGACGTCTGCAATATCTTTTTTTGACGAGGCCTGATGTGTCCTTTGCTGTGAATAAGCTTGCTCAGTACATGCATGCTCCAACTGATCAGCATTGGTTAGCTCTCAAACGTGTCCTACGCTATCTCAAAGGCACAATTTTTTATGGTCTTTTTCTCTCTAAGCAGGTGCCTATGTGCCTCACAGCTTTCTCTGATGCTGATTGGGGAGGTATTACAGAGGGTGGTCGTTCAACCACTGCTTATGTTCTTTATATTGGTCCGAACATTATCTCTTGGAAATCAATCCGACAGAAAAGTGTGTCTCATTCTTCTACGGAGGCCGAGTATCGTGCTTTGGCCAATGCCGCAGCTGAGGTTCAGTGGGTTCAAAATTTGCTGCGGGAACTCCGTCTGTCCATCACTGCGCCACCCATGCTTTATTGTGACAATATGAGCGCTCTTCATGTTTGCAAAAACCCGGTTTTTAACTCTCGCATGAAACATATTGCTTTGGATTATTTCTTTGTCCGTGAGTTGGTAGCTGCAGATTGGTTACGAGTGGCCCATGTTCGTTCTTCTGATCAATTGACATATATTCTCACCAAGCCTCTCTCTCGTCCCTTATTCTACAAGTTTCGGTCCAAGATTGGTGTCTCCGACGGATCCCCCATCTTGCGGGGGCGTGTAAAGGATAATCTTTAGTCAATTAATATTTATTATTATTACCATCCTTATTCATGTAACCGTAAATGTGATGGGCATGTGCTGCTCGTATTTCCTTATATAGCTAACAATTATGTACTGGTAGTGCTAATTCTTAGGCTGACTTTGAGCTTCCCACGTTTGGCTCCTACCATGCATGTATATATGTAATCTCCTTGTCAATGGAATATAATCAATCATCATTATCTTATAGTAGATTTGGACAACTAAGGATCGCATATGTAATTGCATCGTCGAAGGTTCCCAGTGCGGGCCAAACGTTTAGTTTAGATCTTCCTCATCTGCCTTTGCCATCTCTTCTTTTCAATTTTGTGGTGGCGAGCTCGTTCGGAAACGGCAAAGGCTCTTCGGCGAGCATGGGCAAGCAACCGTGGGTGGCAACGATCTTCCATCTCCATTGTTGCGTGAAAACCGACAACGACCCTCCCTTTAGTAGTATTCAATCTCGATCTCCCCATCGGATCTCCCTCTTAACCGTTTTGATCATGTTTTTTTTGTTTCTCCTAGTTTTATACTCCGTAATTGTTACTCCATTCGTCCTAAAACTAACTTCCCAGTTTGACTTTTGTAGTCAAACTTTTTAAACTTTGACCGTATATTACGGAAAAATACATTGAATTTTCATATAAATTTATCAGCAATAGATTCATTTTGAAACATAGTTTTGAAATATATAATTTTTATAAAATATATTTATATAAAAATTGAGATATTGGCGATCAAAGGGTCGCATTGGAGACCGTGAAAAGTCAAATGGGAAGTTAATTTTAGGACGGAGGGAGTAGTAAATAAAATAAGGGGAATTTACTTAAATAGCACTAAATAGCATCACATGTGTTTTTCTTTTGAATATAGTACTTTTAGGGGGTGTATTCAATCAGGATTCTGATGGATTTTTTTGGATTTTGAAAATCTATAGGTTTCAGTTCAGATTTAAAAAAATCATTTAAAATCTGAATGTATTCAATTGAGATTTTTAAAAAATCCTTCTAAATATGATGGTATTCAAAAATTTGATAGACTTTTAAGGATTTTTAAAAATGTAAATTTTGATGGATTTTTAAGCATTGGGTATAAATATAAATCCATTCCCAAATCTCACCCAAAAGCCAAAGATTTTATAAACTTCTTCGTAAACTCCTCCGTCCTTCATCCGACCGTCTTCTTCCTCCGATCGTCTTCTTCGTCTCTCATTCATCCTCTCTAGTCATCTTCTTCATCTCTTCTTCATCGTCTCCTTGTTTCTTCTTTGTTCTTCTTCTTCCTTTCTTCTTCATCTTTTCTTTTTCTTCTATCCGTTTCTTTTCTGAAAGTATTATTCAGGGGAAGAGAAAAGAATAAGAAGAAGAGAGGCAGTGGCGGTGAATCTGGGTGGCGACGGCGGCGGCGGCGTGGGAGCTGAACCGGAAAACAAAAGAAACAAGAAAAATAAAAAAGAAGAATGGTAGTGGTGCGGCGGCTAGGGTTTGTGGGGGAAGAAGGGAAAAAGAAAAGAAAAAGAAAAAAGGAAAAAGGAAAAGAGAAAAAGAAAAGGAAAGCTAGGACCGTGGGGGAAGAAGGGAAAAAGAAAAAAGGAAAAGGAAAAGGAATGGAAAAAATGGGAAAAAATGTTCAATTTTAAAAGAAAAGAAAAGAAAAAGAAAAAAAATGTTTCTATATACGTAATTCATTGATTACAAATAATCTGTTAAAATCATAAAAAATCTTTCTAAAAAATAAATTAAAATCAATCTAAATCTACGTACACTTAAAACAATCTATTGATTTTACAGAATCTATGAATTCTAAACAACGTATCAGAATATACTAAAATCTGGATTGAATACACCCCCTTAGTCATTATGCATTAGTCATTATTCAAGTAAATATTAACCATCACGGGACATTATGGACATTATTAAGCGCTATTTAAGTAATAAAACAGTTTAAGTGCTATTTAGAGAAATGACTTAAGTTTTAGTGCTATTTAGTGCAATTATTTCATAAAATAATGCATAAGCATTGTGTTGTTTGGGTGGAAGCGTGGTGTCATTGTGACCGTGGTTGTTATAGTGCATTGGGAGTATGAGCGGTAAGTATGACAATATGGTGGGGAAAGTGATAGTGTGGCGGTGGCACTATGTGGTTGTAGTGTGATGGCAATGTGGTGATGAGGCTGATAGTGTGACGGTGGCATGTGACAATGGTGGTGTAGTGTGGTGGTGACTATTATAGTGTGGCAGTGGCTAGGGCTGTTCATCGGTCCAAACTGGACTGAACACTAAATTGAA